CTCCTTCTCCTTCTCCTTCTCCTTCTCCTTCTTCTTGAGGTACTAGGGATGAAACGCAGGACCTTGTACTTGCCAGGCGAGCGCTTATTCTACTGAGCTATCTCCCTGGCCCACTGAGCCATTTCCTCAGCAGTAGTCTAGATTATTCTGAGTTTTATTTCATTGCCACATTCTGATTCTTTCCTGTGCATCCCTCTCAGAGTCCAAGCTGTGCTAGATTGTTTTTATTATATTACAATAAAGATGAATACTGCTTCTTTTCCTTGTTCGTGTTTTTAAAGTTTAAGTCATAAGTCCTTAAAAATCTTATTAATGAGTCTTTGCTTCCTTCTAAAATAGTCTCAAAAGTACCTGCTGCCCATCTTTCCTTTCTGTGGGAAGTCAGATCTTCTTTGCATCTTGTTATGGCTCCTCCCATCCCTCCTTCTGTCCATTTCTGCTGCTGTAGAGGACCTGCTTCTGGTTCTACTGTCAGTGTGAGAGGGGTCTGGACCAAGGTCTGGTCTCTTCGGGTGAAGAAGAATCTTCCTGCTTGGGTCAAAACTAAGAGTACCCTTTTTCCCTGCATTGGGCAGGCACCTGGTTATCATGCCTTCCTACATCTTAGGCTGTCATTTCAGAGAGGCCAGAAAAGGGATTCCTAGTCAACTATTTCATATTTTCTGTCACACAGTCCTATTCAAGACTGGATTTCAGAGCACTTAGTTCTATCCCAGGCAGGGAGACCTGATAGAAAGTTGAACATCACAATCTAAACTATCACAGGGCTTGGAGTAGCAGCAGAGTCTTATTTGGAGAGACCTCTTACTGAGTAAGTACAAAAGGAATAGGTTATTCGGCTGCTGAGCGATTGAAGATCAATCCTGACGATGAGCTAGAAAGGCAAGTGTGTACTGATAGTACAACCCAGGGGTAGAGGGCCTGTTAAATTGAATCAGGGCACGCCTTCTGAAGGTAAAGCAAACAAAGTACACTAAACTCTATTTAAAGGTGTTGGGAAGCCACTGGAACAGGAAGAATTTGCAAGACTGCGTCCAGAGGAAGAGGAAAAGCCCAGAACGGTGAGCTCAGTGTCTAGCTCTTGTTTCTCACGAAGAATTTGCTGAGTGTACTTGTGAAATGGCTCAGGGGCAGAGAAGCTGAGCAGGGCTTTCAGCAACCCTAGAAAAGGCGAGTTCCCTAAAGGACTAAAACCTGAATTTGAATTATTTCCATCTTCAGTTGGATTTGGGAGAACTGCCCTTAGTCTAATACAAGCAAAAGTAAACCCTCTCTAGAAGAAGGTAACATTATTTGGAGCTTTAAGTGATTTCTGAAGCTTTTCTTAAACAACGTCTGATTCAAAATTTTTTCCCCTTTTGAAGAGACTTTCTTACTTTTTTCTTTATCGTTCTTTCTTCCTCTCTTCTTCCTCCTTGTATCTCTTCCTTTTGTTTTCCTTCTTTCTTTCCTCCCTCCCTGCCTTTCTCTCTCCCTCCCATCTTTCTTTTTTTTTTTTCTTTCCTTCCATCCTCCCTTTCTTTTTTAAAAGCAAAAATTAATAATCTTTGAAAATCCAAACTTGCATGAGCATCCACACTGGAGACTATGATGGATAGAGGTTGTATGATGGATGATACATTTTCTTCTTAGTACCATCTCGGTATAGAAAGTGTACCAGTAACCATGATAATGACCCAAAGGCCTATCCATCCATACAGGGTCATTTTAAGTAAACATTTGGGCCTGTACCACTTACGGTTTACTGTACTTCAAGAGAATTGTCATAGTGACATTTACTTATTTACTTGAACATGTATTATAATGTTTATTTCATAGATACACTACATTTGTAAGCTAAATTACATAAATTCTCAACAGAATCCTAATAAATAATCCACTTTTTTAACTTTTCAATAGCATAGCTGGACAGATCTGAGAGACTCTGCCTATTTGTAAAACTAGTATTCTAGAAACATGCTTTATCATTATAAATGACAAATAACTAAATAGCTTTCCATTTTATTTATTTATAACATTTTATATCAAATTGAAGGAAAGTAAAATGTGATCCTTAAAAAGCAATAATATTTTACCAGCCATTGCAAAAATTACATTAAACTCTGAGGAACAGGAGAAAAGTGATTACATTCTACATCTACCTGCAACCCAGTTGGAAAATGGGGGGACACCTGCAGTCAAATTATCTCAATATAGAGAGATTAAAAGTTATTTTTCTTAAACATGCTTCTTTCCAGAAAAGGGAGTAAGATTTACTCACCAACAAATATTTGTTTATGATTCACAATGTCAAAACACCATAGACCTCTTTAATGTGTGGTATAATATGTATAAAAAAGAGAACCTCAAGAAATATTTATTAAGTAAATAGATGTATTAAAGTATGCAAACGATTCAACGTTTCTTTACTGACCTCAAAGAATTTAACAGTCATCAGTTTGAGAAGACAAAACCCAAAAATAGAATATTGATGATTTCCTGTGAAAATGAATGATCTGGATCAATTCTGTAATATGTCAGTGAAAGATCACCGTGGGGTGTAATTTGCTGAAACATTTTGTGAAAAAAGGCAAGACTTGAGCAGTAGGTCTGAGGATGGACAAGAGAGAGAGAGAGAGGCCAACCTCAGAATAATGAGGTCAGGAATAAAGGCCATTTGGTTTTAAGGTAGCTGCAGGGGAGTCATGAACTTGTACTGCAGGGTACTGAGGATAAAAGGGGCTAAGTGTAGACAGGTGGAGAAGGTCTGATGATGCAGAGGGCTTTAATTACCAAAGCCCATAGGCATTCTGCACACACCAGGATCCCAGTAGAGACATTCCCAGCGAGGGAATTATACAATGAATTTATCATTCTAAGGAAAGTATTAAGCCAGCATAATGTGTGAATTGGAGCATTGGGAGGGATGGAATTCATAGTCTAAGAGAGTCATGATACTTAGAGGCTGAAAGCCATCAGGGATAAGCTATGAAAACATCGTGGAATGGCACTTGAGCACGAGCATTTTGGGCGATAGCCTGACTTTCTTTGCATCTCCAGTGCCTGTCATACAGCTGGTGCCCAAGGAACGGTCACATATCTGAAGTCTTGGTGGACTTGGTTGCTTTTTTACTTCCAGCTCTGTAGTTCAAGGGGAAAGGAAAGAACAGCCAAATAAGAAACCTTGGATCTGCTTCAGTGGCATAATCATGGTGCTACAGATAAATAGCATGACTTGAAAGGGACAAAGCTTTTGAGGAGACCGTCCATTCTGTAAGGACTGTGTTGGGGCAGACTCAGAGACACCTAGATACAGAAGATCATTTTTTTGGTCTGGGAAAACCATATATTTTTAGAGAAAATGGACTCTTCCCAAGAAAGAAAAGTAACTGCGTAAGAAGAGTGGCTCTAAAATCTGTCTTCTCAGCAACTCTTTCTTTTGTGCCATGCGAGACTCCATCCTGCTCTTACAGATTCCTCAGCTACTTTCTATTTTATATGTAATTATGGGTCTGAGAACTTTGAAGCCTGGTGGTTTTTTTTGATTCCTAACTTCCCTGATCCTAAGGTTTTTAAATCCCAAGTCTGGGTCAGAGGCTTATTAAATCCCTTGAGATCATGTGTGGAATTTTGTAAATATTTCTGAAGAAAAGGATCTATAATATTTCCTAGATTCTCAAGAAGTGCAGGACATCCCAGATGAGCTCAAGCATCCTAAGGATGCTTCTGCATTGAAGCTTTGCT